GTCAAAAGATCACAAATCGTATCTAGTTGAAGACATTACCCTTAAAAATTGAAAAAAATTCCCTCGTTCCCCGCAAATGGGGGAAATATCCAAAAAAATTACAAATTTAAAAATCGCTAATTTTCGAAATTTTTTCAGTTTCTTTTCTTAAAACTTCCACAACTTTTTGAAAAATCAACAAATCAACATAATTTTTTTTTATACTAAAACCTTAGATATTTACCTTTCATTTGATATCATTTTTTTGAAAATCTATCACTTAACCTGCTCATTGGGGGGGATTTAAAATGGCAACTTTTTTACAAAAATTAATTTTTTCAACTTAATTTTTGAAAATGTTCCGGAAAGACTGCGTCCTTTAAACATATATCAAATTAAAGCTTATTTTATGTACTACAAAATGAAAAAAAAAAATTTGTCCCGACACTTTTTTTTCTACATTTAAACGGCTGCCGTAGTTAAAAAAACACTATTTTTGTGTTAAAATTTTCGATTTTCGATTTTAAATTTTCAACTTAAAAATGCTATAACTTTTTGAAAAATGTATATATCAGCACAAATTTTTTTTTTCTAAATACATTATAAGTACATCTTTCATTTGACATACTTTTTATTAAAATTGGACAATTTCCCCTTATATAGGGGGCGTTCAAAACTTAAAATATTGTAAAAAACATAGATCTTTTTCAACTGAACTTTTGAAAATGTTCCGGAAATACTGCGTCCTTTAAACATATATCAAATCAAAGGTTATGTTATATACTATCAAATGAAAAAAAAAAATTTGTCCCGACATCTTATCTTCTATGTGCAAATGGCTGTCGAAAATTTAAAAAAAAATGTAATGTTTGCGATAAAAATTACCTTTTATCGGGATGTTTTTTGTACTTAAAACTGCCATAACTTTTTCAAAAATGAACAAATAAAAATAATATTTTTTTGTATTGAAACCTTAGATATTTCCCTTTCATTTGATATAATTTTTTTTGAAAATCTAACACTTATTCTGCTCACTGGGGGGATTTAAAATAGTAACTTTTTTACAAAAATTAACTTTTTCAACTTAATTTTTGAAAATGTTCCAGAAATACTGCGTCCTTTAAACATATATCAAATTAAAGGTTATGTTATATACTATCAAATGAAAAACAAAAATTTGTCCCGACGACCTATCTTCTATGCGCAAATGGCTGTCGAAAATTAATAAAAAATGTAATGTTTGCGATAAAAATCACCTTTTATCGGGATGTTTTTTGTACTTAAAACTGCCATAACTTTTTCAAAAATGAACAAATAAAAATAATNAAAAAAAATGTAATGTTTGCGATAAAAATTACATTTTATCGGGATGTTTTTTGTACTTAAAACTGCCATAGCTTTTTCAAAAATGAACAAATAAAAATAATATTTTTTTGTATTGAAACCTTAGATATTTCTCTTTTATTTGATATAATTATTTTTGAAAATCTAACACTTATTCTGTTCACTGGGGGGATTTAAAATAGTAACTTTTTTACAAAAATTAACTTTTTCAACTTAATTTTTGAAAATGTTCCGAAAATACTGCGTCCTTCAAACATATATCAAATTAAAGCTTATTTTATGTACTACCAAATGAAAAAAAAAATTTGTCCCGACGACCTATCTTCTATACGCAAATGGCTGTCAGTAGTTAAAAAAACACTATTTNAAAAAAAAAATTTGTCCCGACGACCTATCTTTTATACGCAAATGGCTGCCGTATTCAAAAATATGCTATTTTTGTATTCAAATTATGGGTTTTGTATTTTATTTTAATAGAAGTTGATGTTAATTTTGCAATTATCCATCAATTTTTTAAAATTAAACACTATCTACAGATTTGCATCGAAGCGTTTCTTATGATAGTGATTTTAATCACTGTCAGATTAAATCTATCTGGACCCAACTATGCAATGTCTCCACTATGCCGCGACACCACTGTGCTACCGTTTTTTCATATATTATACTTTTAATTCAAAGAACAACTAATCAGGTTATAATTAAGGAAATAGGAGTTGATGTTGCTTTTGGAATAATCCACCAATTTCTCTAAATGAAACAAATGAAATCTACAGATTTGCATCGAAGCGTTTCTTATGATAGTGATATTAATCACTGTCAGATATCATCTCTATACTTGTCTGAACTATCCCACGTCCATATTGTGTCGCGACCCTACTATACTATTGTATTTTTTTACGCAATTAAATATTTAATATTTTAATCAGTAATTTTATTATACTCACTAATTTTTATATCTTTTACAAGTGTTAATAAATAAAAATTTTTATTATTGAAATTTTCATTAGCAAAATATAAAATATTGAGTAAAATCTACACACGTTGTAAGACTTGTGTTACCTTTTGATGTTTTAATTGCTTATAATCAAAAACTTTTCGGGTTGGGTTCATTTTAGAGATCTATTAATAGAAGCTCAAATTGAATGGTTAAGGAGGCGCTTCTGCCATTTAGTATTTACTATTAGGCTTTTCAATATTTTATATATATAAAATTTATTTAAACACGAATGCATTCATTTTTAGTGTATGTGAATGAAAATATAATATTTTTTAGATGATTGTTCTAAAGCCTGCTAATATGTCATTATTATGTAACATTAATTCCGGGAGACAAACGAACTAATGAATCAATAATAATTTTAAAGTCAATATATCTTAAATAATAACTAGAAAACACATGATATATGTTTGAAAAGAATTTATTATTTTACTTATTTACATATAATATATACCTATAATGTTTAAAAAAAAAACATTTAAAAATCTACTTAAACACGTAAAAAAACTATATAGTTATTCAAATAAAAAGTTATGATTAATATAGAGACAAAACAACTATTTAACTAGGAATAATATTCATATGGTCGAACCAACTATAAAAAATAGTTAACTATATTTATTTGTAAATTATATATAAATTTGTGACCTACGAAGAATTTATTTTAGAGAGCTCTATATTAATTTTCTTATGATCTTCTTAAGATGAATTTTTATTTTACTTTCAATATTATAGTGATTGTGAAAATCCCATATATTACAACATAATATGCTTCTTTATACCCTTCCATATACTTACGTAATTGTTTCTAAGGTTAGACATTTTTGCCAAAAAAATTTTTATGGGTTCAAAGATGGGATTTATCAGCTGAGAAATTTTCTCAAAGTAATTCTAAGAATTATTGAAATATACAGATAATAAAATAAATTAGAACATTTTTATTAACGTCTTAATATTAAGTAGTCATAAGCGAAATGAAATATATTGTTCATATGTCACATTTTACTTTTTCGATGTTATTATGGTTATGAATTCTGAAAAAAAAATTACTGTAAGTATTTATTTCAATAAAATCTATACATAAAATTCACCATTGTAATCAATTTTTTTATCTCCATTTAAATCCGCTTCTTTAATCATATCTTCAATTTCTTCATCAGTAAGCCGTTCTCCAATACTAAACATGACACGTTTCAACTCAACAAATGTTATAAAACCGTCACCATTTTTATCAAATACATTAAATGCGTGATGCATTTCTTCTTCACCGTCTGATACCTTTAATTTCCGAGCCATCATAAGAAGAAATTCATTAAATTCAATACTTCCATTACCATCTTGATCAACTTCATTAACCATCCCTCGTAAGTCAGATTCTTAAAATATATAAAATTATCTCAAATATTAAATTTTTAAATTTAACAAAATATTCAAGTTTACTAACGAGTTGGTCTCTGCCCTAAGGATCTCATTACGACACCTAATTCGGCCTCTGTTATTTTTCCATCATGGTCCTTATTAAACAACATAAATGCTTCCTTAAATTCTAAAATTTATTATTTTTTAATACCAACATAGGTGCATATAGAACAAAAGTTTTGGGAGTGTAAAATTATTTTATTTACCCACCGTAAAATTGGTTATGGTAAAATGGACATAATATGTCATTATGAGAGGTTGGGTACTGCACGTATTGGTGTATGTATATGACCAAGCGGTGTACATTCCTCCTATATACCCACTCTATGTATTTAAAAGGTTAATAAATCTCATACTAAATTTATTACCGACCCATCAACAGTTTTTGTAAGAAAAGAGTTAAAATTAGCTACTTTGAATTTTAAAATGAAACAGTAATAAAAATAGCAAAAAATTACTATTTTTTTAATATTAACCCTTTAGCAGGCGCGTCCCTATTTTTAAAGTTCATAGTAAAAAGTATAAATATAAATAAAAAAGTTCATTTTTTTAAATTCAAAGACATTATTTGTTACCATATAATATATAAATATGGATAAAAATTAAAAAATAAATAAATTACATAATTATATCCATTACTAAAAATTATATTACGAAAAAATAAACTTAATTTTAAAAATTTCCTTAAGAAACTTTGCTTCGTAAAAAAATTCTTATTACTGTAAAATCTGATTTTTAAGGCCATAAACAAAAGCTTTTACTATTACAAAATGTATTTTAATTAATTTTTCTTGTATTTCTTTGAGCTCAAACATGGCTTATATTTATTAGTTTTATGTGTATTTACATTTATATAATAATTTTTCTGAATTTAATTTTTTTATTATTAATATTACAATACATTTAATTATTATAATACGAGTATATACAATTATTCGTTCGTAGTTGCACATCGATTATCGATAATTATCATTATAATAATTACCAATTATAATCAATGTGTCCATTGCGACGCGATGTATTTATTACATGTTTTGTTTTTATTTGTACCGTATCATCAAGTAGTGGAAATTTTCACTATTTCTCCGTAAAAATTACAATACTAAATTATTAAATATCATTTCATATTATATTCATTTACTATAGTAAATATTTTTACAAATATTTCACTTATAAATCATAAAACTTGTAATCGGGATATAAATAAGGAAATAGGAATCATGTTGCTTTTGGAATAATCCATAATTTTTTTAAAAATAAACAATTTCTACAGATTTGCATCGAAGCGTTTTTTATGATAGTNAGCCATTATTAAGAATGGAAGAAATTAATTAAGCATACATAAATACAAGATTTTAATCACTGTCAGATTAAATCTATACTGGACCAAACTATGCCATGTTCCCACTGTTTTGTTATTTACAAATTTGGTAATTATATTTAGAAATTTAATTCTGATAAAGAATTATTTAATTCCATATCCTCCTAAATTTTACTATATTCAGCATCATTATTGTGTTGTATTAATAAAGTCCTTGTTTCCATTGTCAGTTCCTTTGAATAATAATTTGTTTGTCTATTCAAACTGGAAATGCAAGGATCAGATGATATAAGTAATATATGCAAAAGATCTTCATTTGTGTTAAGGCGAGAATTTTTTCGGGTATGGTGCTCTCTGTACATATTATAGTCTTTGTTACGACTCTCTTGGGCTTCTTCAGATAAATTTCCCGAAATATTTTATTTCTTTAAATATAAAATAGATGAAGAGTGAATGTGTCAAACGTTCTATGTGCCAAAAAAATATTTGTTCAGAAAACACAAAAAACATCACAAATTAAAAA